ACGTTTCAGGACTTACCAGAGCCTCCAAGGGCATTTTTGCAGTGTTTGTCTCCAAGGCAGGGGAGCATTAAGAAAGGTTGCCCCAGCTAATTTTGTCATAGAGAAACTTAAAATTTCAATGCAATCAGTTCGCTCCAGCCCTGGTCTTCAGCCTCTCCTTCTGGTCGCAGCCAGCACTATCCTAATGGATCCGAGCCTAACTCTTTCCTGACTCCCGTTCTGCATCCTTCTCCCCTTTACAAGTCCAGGGCTAAATCCTTCAAGAAGATTCTGAAATTGTTCAGTCTTTTTTTTTTTTTTTTTTTTTAATGACATTTCAAAATCCCTGGAGGACAGGGATTCCATCTTCCTATCACTGTGCTCCAAGTCCCTCTGGGTAAATGCTTATGGACGGACTGACGGCCTCAGCTGGCCAATTAGATTGCGAGCCAACCTCAAGATACTCCCAAAGTCTGCCACTACCCTGCTAGCCTGACCCCCCCCCCCCCGCGAAAAAGGACAGGGAGGGGCGTTAAAGGGACTGTGGGTGTTCCTGCCCTCCCCACCCCCCCCCACCCCCCGCACCACCTAGTGGGAACAGGATGAGCTCTGGGCCCTTGCTGGGAAGGAGAGAGCACAGATCTAATGAAGCCGTCCCCTGCATCTGTGCAGTGTCTTTCCATCGCAACCACACTGCGACCGTCCGGTCCCAGGTCGAGAACCCCACAGCCTCCTGTGTGGATAATGAGTACAGCCAGCCCCCCAGGAACTCCCACCTGTCGGCCTATCCAGGTGAGCAACAGGGGGCTCCTAGGCCAGCAGGCAGAGTTGGACCGGTCCTGTCACTATGGTCACGTGATGTCCTTGAAGCTCCAGTCCTTGTCCAAAGAGAGAAAGGAGACCCCAGGGGGCAGGGGATCAAACTACCCACTTGACAGCAGGTCACATCAGGGCTGTGGGAGGGACAGTCTTCATAGACCTCAGCTGTCCCTTTTGAGGCCTGAACCACTCATCTAGAGAGAAGAATGCACTTGGATGGATGTCATTAACCCCAGCCTCGCTGGGACCTAATGGGACTATTTCCCTGCAGGGAGGGTCGTACAGGCTGGATAGTAAATGAGGCTCCTCAGATTCCTTCAGCTCGAAGAGAGCCATTAAGTGGCCTGCGGGAGCCCTGAACCAAGGCTCCTCGCTGGTGCTAACAATTAAGCCCCGGGGAGCCTGGAGTTCAGCATCATTAGCCATCGCTTGGCTGATTTGATCAAAACAGATACCAGGGGCTGTCACCAGCTCATAAAGCCCCTGTGATCTTCTGAAGGCCCTTTTCTTTCCCCAGCTCTGGAAGGGGCCCTGAATAGCTCCTCTACCCAGCCTGACAACTCCTCTGACAGCGACTATGACCTGCACGTGGCTCAGAGGCTGTAGAAGGTGAGTCTGTCCCTGGTCTAACGCCGGCACCAGGACCCCCAGTCCTGGGGACAGCACCAGGGTGAAGCTGCTCTCCTCATCCTACTCCCATATGTGAACAGGGGGCCTGAGCACCTCGATTCTCAAAAAAGGGCAAGAATAAGCACCAGCAATTGAGGCGACGGGGCCAACCTGGCGACTAGCAGAGGAATCGTGGATCTTATTTTTTTTTTTTTCCTTTAAGAAAGAGTGAGAAAGAGAGATAGTTTTTTAACATTTATTTTTTTAGCTTTTGGCGGACACAACATCTTTGTATGTGGTGCTGAGGATCGAACCCGGGCCGCACGCATGCCAGGTGAGTGCGCTACCACTTGAGCCACATCCCCAACCCGGAATCGTGGATCTTAAAATCCAACTCAGAAGACAACGCAAAAAGATCCCTACGTGGAGAAGCCCCTGGCAGCAGGACAGCCGCTGTCCCAAGACTGAGCTGGTGTGGGCCAGTCCCCAATTCCCCGAATCACCTCCACAGAGCTTTCCCCCACCGCCCCCAACTCCTGTCCTTCTCACCCCAAAGAACTGGGAACCAGGGACAAAAAAAAAAACAAAAACCCTAGAGCCAGCCAACCTGTCCTAAGGAAATGATCGTCACCACTTGGAAGCGATGCCCCCGTTTCCACTCCCAGCAGGACTTGGCCTGGACAGGGACTGGGGTGCCTTTCCCACACGTCTTCTGCCCTCCATGGCAGGCCAGCTCTCAGCCCCGCTCACCCCCAGGCCCTGACCCAGGGGAAGCCAGCTGCAACAGCTTGGCACCTTCCGGGCACCATCGCGGTGAGAAGATGGCACCCAGAGGCGAGCCCTTCCAGGCAGACTCGGGGTGTCCAGAAGGGTCCTGTTTCCTAAGCCTGGGCAGCCCCTTCCTTGTCCACTGGGGTGCAGCACTGAGTAGAATCTGGCCTTTTCCTTGGACTCTGGCCACGTGAAGAACGGGGAGGAACTCACACGTGGTGGGAGGCTGTTTCTCTGTGTAGTTTAAATCTGTTCTTTGTAAATAATGCTTTTTCTACTTCCTGAGAACTTAAGGGTTCTGGCTTCTTCTGTCCAGGGTCCACTCCTATGGATCCTTCTGGGAATGCCCACAAGAGAGACCTCCCGGGGAAGTCTGGAGCTGTCATGGTCAGAGCTGCACAAAGACAGCTCAGCGCCTCAGCATCTACCAGCTAGGGAGGGGTGGGTACCCAGGCTCACATGCCACACGTCTGTGACTCCCCAGGCCCCACATCTGAAGATACCTTCCTCTCCAGAAGGGCTATCAAGGGCAATGATGCCACCCCAGAGGCTGGCACAAAGGGGCACCTAGTGAGTCTTGGCCCATTAAGCTTTTGGTTTTAAGTGGCAGTTGAAAGTCCCAAGCTAAGGAAGTTTCAGCCAGTCACAGTTAACCTGTAACACGAGAGTCAGAGAAACAGCCTCATATGTTCCTTTGGATTAAATAACTCCTACAGCTAAAATAGTCTCCTCTGCCACTTGGAGATCCCAGACATACAGCTAAATCCAGCAGCACGGTTCCTTAACTTCAAGGGGAGGGTACCTAACCAGGAGCCCCACATCTGATACAGGGAGGGGCTGTGCTAGGCCACTGGGCCTTTGGCATCTGGCAGCCCCCTCAAAAGATGAAGCAGCTTGGTGGTGACGGGTCTTGGGTGGGGCCCTTCTCCACTCAACACGGCCCTGTACCTCCTGGGAGCACAAAAACTGATGATCCGAACCACAACAGCCAACTCTGAGAGAGAAAAAGGGGAGATGCTGTGGTGTGTGCAGCGGTGGGTGCAGAGTTGGAGTGGGGGGGCAGCACTCCAGAAAAATGTCTGATCGGCGCTCTGCCCCCATACACCTTCCACCCAGGTTCTGACAGCCTAGATGGCTAAGTCCAGGTCACAGATGTGCCCAGCCGTGCTGGGAATCCAGAAGCAGGGTCACCCACTACCCTAATGTTACTGGACAACCCCTGGAAACACTGGTGTGCAGCCCAGGATCTGCTACCTTTGCCTCGTGTTGAGGAAGGCAATCCAGAAGGAAAGCTCCCTTAACCTTTGAGCAACAGGCCTCGCTTCCAAGTTATCGGCATTCAGGGACCTGGGGTTCAGGACGGGCCTGGGGGTTCAGGATGGGCCTGGGGATTCAGGACGGACCTGGCATCACAGCAGAAAGGACGTTTCAAAGGGCCTCACCCAAGTATCCCCACTAGGCTCAGAATCCCTTCCAGGCTGGACATGAAGGGTCTGTCCCCTGTGCAGGCAGAGGCCCCCCCGAGGTCTGGTGAGGGCCTGAGGAACGCCTGAGTGTGCCCCACCATCTCAGGCGTGCAGCCCCAGGAAGGAGCATGGAGAGCAGCTGGTGGCAGCTCACAAGTCTTTCCTTAGAAAGTTGGTCCTTGGTGCTCCTGCTGCTCTGGCACCCGACTAAGGCAGGTGATCTGCTTGTGTGGCCACAATACAGTCTATAGCTTTCCCCTACAGCTGGGCCATCTTTGGTTCTTCCTGAGGTCCTGTGTCCTCAGCCGCAGACACCCACAAGGTGAGGCCAGTGTGCAGCCAGGACAAGGGCAGTGAGCACTGGACTGGGCTGGGGGCACTCAGCCATCCTGGAGATGATTCTGGCACCACAAAGGCACGGTAGAGTCCTGCAGCCTCTGGGATCCCAAGGACCCGGGCCCCTGTCCACCTCTGCCCCCAGGACCCGGGCCCCTGTCCACCTCTGCCCCCAGGACCTGGGCCCCTGTCCACCTCTGCCCCCAGGCTGGACAACCTGGCCACCGTCCCACCTGCCCTGCATCTCCTTCCTATTTAAAAGTAGGGCTGAAAGGGCCACCAGAGGCTCAAGGAGAAAACGTGCATGAGCACGACAATGCTGTGCAGCCCTGCGGGGCACATGGTGTTGGCGGCTGGGCACCCCAGTGCCCTCCACAGGAGGCCTGCCCTTGTCACCTTGTGGGAAAGAACGGCAGAAGGGCTGACTTAAGGGACCGTCAAAACCTGGTCTCCCAACTCCCGCAAAGCTGCTGGTCCTGAAGAAAGCACAACGTCCTCCCCGGCCTCTGAAAACCAGCAGCGGAGCACAGGGAAATGCCAGGAAAAGGGCAGGCGGGTCCTTAGTGGACCAGCCAGTTTAGTGTCCCCTGCCCCTCTGAGCAAGCCCTGCAATTCCAGCTTCGAAATTGGATGGGCCATGGCCAGGTTGACCAGCAGACACTGCTGCCAGCCCAGCAGGTGGCAGTAATGTGCATGTCCCAAGCTGGGCTGGGGCCCAGGCGCCCCCTAGTGGGAGCCCGTGGCCTTGTATGAAACAGCTCTCCCCCAGGACAAGGCACAGGTGCAGGCTCCACCCAGAAAATACATAATGAGAACCAAAGAACAGGAAAAGCCAGGCCCAGCGGGTGAAGGGCTGGGGAGGGCAGCAGCTCAAGAGTGACAGCCAGCCAGAAGGTGTTCTGTGGACGGAAGCTAGAGGCCTTTCAGTAGAGCGTGCTTCTGAAGGCTGCAGAAGAAATTCAGGACCCCCAAACAGCCACATTTCCATTTCTAAGCCCACCAGAGTCACAACACTACAAGTTACTCATGGAAGTTTATTAGGGCAATTAATTACACGAACACACAGGCGATCATTCATCCAGTCCAGAAGCACTCAGCAGACTCCATTAGTGATTTCTCTTCATAAATAACTTACGAGAAGCAAGCACAGTTGGAGAGGAACTGGCAGCGCTAATCTAGCATCACGCACACCCACAGACGGCACACAGGCCCGGGACGGGGGCAGGCACCAGAAGGTGAGGTTTCCTCCTTGGCCCCCACACCCCCAGGCCCACCAGAGGCTGGGTACTCGGGGAGTGGATGTCTCAAGGCACATACAACTTCCTAACCCGTAGCAGCTCCAGGATCCGCCGAGACCTGGTTCACATCTGGTACAAAGTTAATGCTTCATTCGTCACCCCCTTTGGCCTAGTGTAGTCATTTTTACTACTGCACATGTTTAAAATCCCAGTGTGCTAGGGCTGCATGTGACTGTCACAATCCCTGCCCTTTACATTCTGAAGACGAGAGGTGCAGAGAAACTGACCCCGGTGTAGTGATGGTGTTTTGGAAAGCACCATTTGGGAAGTCACTGTTAGGGTGTCTTTCGACGATGTCTACAGGGATATGGGGACCAGGAAGGCATACATGGGGAGATGAAGGACAGAGGGGGTTGCTTGAGAATGAGATTCAAGGCACTAAAGGAATAGGTAGGTGGGTGGGTGGGCCTCAGAAAAGCCAGCCAGAAGTGGGGGGCCCTGAGAAGGAAAGGGTGGCTGGGAGGTGCCCCAACTCCTAGCTGAGCCCAAACGTGACCACAATCTCCCAGGCTAGAGCTTCTCCATTCCCCCAGCCAGAGGGTCCAAGATGACCCCTGGATTCTCCAACCTGCAAGCAAGGTTAGGGTCGGCTTCACATCCCAGCCCATTCGCTATGCAGGCGCTGCTGGCATTCAGAGCAGCACACGGAGCTTCTGTCCCCAGCCTACTGGGGTTAAATTATGGCTTCACAGGACATAAAATCACTGTTTTTTCCCAATTCTGTTCTCTCCCTCCAGACTACCCCTAGCTGGGGTATGTGAGGCAGAACATTCTTGAATGGTCTTACACCAAGAGCTGTATCCCTTGGATTGGGACTCCATGTCAAATATGCCAAATCCCAGGGGAGAGGTAGGGGGTGGGCGGGGTGGGGACCCCAGGCCACCTTGTCACTGAGATAACTCTGCAAGGAGTTCAGATGTTCTTGGAAGTGACACGAGAGGATGTGCACAAATGCATGCACACGCCACTAGCCCTGGCTCCCGCTGGCCTGCAGGACCTGCAACCTAGAGCCAGTTACCGACAGGAGCGGCTCCCAGGAGGGCCTCTGGCCAGAAGATCAGCAAGTTCTGCGGGCTTCTGTCATAGCCAACCTGTCACACACACCCTCAGTGCCTTTGGGGGTCCTGTATGCCCCTGGCCAGGTGCCCCTGGGGCCTCCTTGTGCTGATGCAGGCCCACGGGGAGCACTAACTCACTTCCCATTAACCTCAAATCTCAGCGACAGGTGGGCTAAAGGCCGTGGTGCAGGTGGAGGAGGGAAGGGCCAAGGAGCCAAACCACGGCTAGTATCCAGGCCAGGCAGGGCCTGGGGGTGGGGAAAACCCATATGGAGGAGTAGGCCCTGGGGGATACGGGGGCCGAGGGGGCACTGAGGGCTGGGGCTGTCCTGGGAAGCCTGGGAGCAGAGGCTGTGTTGGGTAGGGGGGCTTTCCTCCTGTGGGGAGGTAGGGGGTCTGTTGAGGATAGCCAGGACTAGGGGCCCTGCCCCCCGCCAAGGGGTACCCAGGGCCAGAGGTGCTAGTCGGGGCTACAGGAAAGCCCGGCCGAGGTGGAGTGCTCCTCTGTGGGGACCAGGGGTAGCCTGCAGCAGACCTGGGTCCCGGCTGGGCTGACGGGTAGGCAGGGCCCAGAGGCCCACTGTACGAGGCAGAGGGCTGGGCCACCACAGGGAAGGGGGCCGGCTGCAGGGCTCCCTGGGCAGTGGGGCCCATGGGCAGGGCGGGGGACGGGCTGTAGGGCAAAGGGTAGGGAGGCACAACAGATGGCTGCAGAGGCGGCTGTTCTTCGGCCACAGGGGGTGTCGCCTGAGGGCCTGGTCGCAGGGGCAGGGGTGGCGGACGGGGTGGAGGGGCATCTCCAGCCAGTTCCTGGGAAGCTCGGGGCCTCCTCACCACGTCTTGGAGCTTCTCCACTCGGACCCGGCGCAGATGGGACAGCATCCTCATAGAGGAGAAGTCCTCTAGAAACTTTTCCAAGGGCACCTCGCCCTCCAGGAACTTCTCAGCCATGGCCTGGAAAACAGGTCAAGTGACAATGGGGGCCTCCCACTTGCCCCTGGGTCAGAACTCTGCCGAGGCCTGCGCTGAGCCCACCTCGGGCTCCCCAGCCTTCCCAGCCCCACCCTGAAGCTTCTCTTTGAGGGCCCTCCTCTTCTGACCCATCCTGTGACCTGTGTTCCGTGTTTTCCTCCTGAGAATGACAGCTCCTTAAAGGCAAGAACTATGTCTGTCATGGTCACCCCAGTGGCCTGCGCTGACCTGCTAGGCCCACAGTGGTCACTGCACGTGTGCTGCACAGCTGGATGAGTGTGAGCTACTGGGTGGCAAATGCATGCTAGCCTATGGGCGAGGAGGACCTGGGAGCTGCTTCCACCTGGGGCAGGTGGAGACTGCCCACAGAGGCCAAAGCAATGCCCAAAGGAAGCCGCAAACAGGGAAGGGAGGAGCGGGGACCAGGCCCGAGATCCTCGAGGCCCCTGGTGCACCGCCCTTCCATCCGGGTCTGTGAGCGGCCCAGGGCCTGCGGCCAGCTATCCAGCTCTGCTTCAGCTAGCAAGGACAGGTCCCTGACACAGTACTCCTAACTTATCTCCAGTTTCTGCTACCCAAGGACAACCCTGGCCCAAAAATATTAAATGGAAAATTCTGGAAATAAACATTTGATAAGCTTTAAATAACTTTCATTACAGCATATTGTTATAATTGTTCTACTTTATTATTAGTTATAGCTCATCTCTTCCTGTGCCTAATCTCTATATTAGATGTACAAATACAGGAAAAAACCATCATAATGTATACAGAGCTCAGTACTAGCCAAAGTTTCAGGCATCTACTGGGAGTCTCAGAAAGTGTCCCCATGGATAAGAGGCACTATGTATTTATTTCCAAAGGGTCTCCACTGGACCCCAGATACCCTCTTCCTTTGCCACCTACCAAGCCCACCCCCATCTCTTGCTCTACAGACACGGGTGTTCATCATGAGCGCCCTGCCCCATGGACCCACACCCCGTCCAAGGGTCGCTTGCAGAGGAACATCGACTCTCCACCTCACCTCAGACTCCTCCTCGATCTTCATGCCTTCGATCTGCAGAAGGTCCAACAAGGTCCCTGGCTGGAATGCTGAGGAGAACTTCTCTGGAAGGGAGGGCAGGAAAGATTGGCATCTCAACACTGACTGCTCCATGCTGGAGGCAGAGACCTCGTGAGAGGCGCTCAGGACGCCCTCTGCACATACAGAGCCCAGCTGCCACCTGGAATCTATGCAGAGTCCCTTGGGGTAGGTCTGTTGGGCCCTTTGGGCCCGTTCCCTCTGACGATCCCACTCCTGAGTAGAGTGGGGCAGGAGAGCCCACTCAAGGGCTCAGCCAAGCAGCTCCCCGATACCAGCCCCAGAAGGGAAGGGACTGGATCCTGATGCTGCTTCGCCCCACAGGGGAAAGCTCACCAACCTGTCCGCACTGCTGGCCAGCCATGCAGGCCCTCTGGACTCCAATCCCAACACCAGCAACTTCTAGCTTTGTAACCTCAGGCGGGTGCCTGAACCTCTCCGAGCCTCATCTTCCTCATCTAGACAAGGTGAATCACAGCAGGACCCTACTCTTACACTCCTCTGTGTATGGAGCGCGCTCAGCTCAGGGCCTCCCTGGCTGCTGGCCCTTTCCTGTCCTCCAGCTGCCCTCCCCAGTCCAACCTCGAATGGAGTCCCTGCACTAACAGGGGAGCCACCAGAGCACTCTCCAGGGCCAGCTGTCCCTACCCAGCTTTGCCTTCTGTTCCTGGCACCGTTCCACAAGCCTCCGCAGCTCCTGGTATTTGTCTGAGAGGTTTGAGCGGCTGATCTCTAGGGGTCCCTGGAATTCCAGGTTCCGCTCAGCCAGGCTCCGGTTGGTGGCTAGTGCCATCTCTCGCTCCAACTGCAGGTCCTGGACCTAGAAAAGTAGGAAAACGAACAGTAAGAACAACTGTCCCTGGGCTAAGGGCTTCTGGGTTCATTACTCATCTTAGGGACACTGGGTGATGCTCGGCCTTTAAGCACAGGCAGAGGAGCCTGGGTTCAGACCCTGCACTAGGCACCCTGGCCTGGGTGCCTCACTGTATCCACAACATGGCAGCCCGGTGGGGGACACACACGAGAAACTGGCATTAAGGTTAACAGCCTGCCAAGGCCACCATGACTGCAGAACTCCAGGGAGGGAGGGAAGCGATTTGTAGGAGAAGCCAGAGGCTTCACATGAGGGACAGGATCAAAGTCCCAACCACTTAACCCCACACTTGAGTCAAGTGGACTAAGGAGGACTAAGATGGCCCAGCAGAACACAAGCTGGACACTCCATGATGCCCGGAAGTCAGGCTATTCTGAGGGGATGGGGGAGCCAGGATCCTGGCGTCGACCACGATGCTGATGCAGGAGACCCGCCGCATGTGTCCTGCCTAGAAACTGTACAGATGAGCCACCCTGGACGTGCCCTGCTGAAAACACTTCCCCAAGCCAGGCAGCACTGTGCCCCTCAGCTGGGTGGTGCAGCTGCCAGAACCCTGCCCAGCCACCCTGTGCATGAAGCCCTACCCATCTGTCGAGGAGGTTTGGAGAGTCAGGCCCACCACCCCAAGAGGCTGGGGACCACATACCACAGCACCTCGTGGCACCACCAGAGGGGACCACCACAGGGGTCAGGGTACAGCTCAGCAAGACCAGCTTCCTCAGGGAAGACGGGTTCCCTGAGCCATTCAGCTTCGCCACCAGCACCAGCACTGGGGACCCAGGCCAGACTGGCCCATGCTCCACCAGCAACAGTAGCCCACGGGAATCCAGGGAGTCCTGAGGAGGGCGCTGGGGGAGGTTTTCCCACCTGCTGATCCCCTGCCGCAGGGCCTCAAGCCCACACTATGAGGCAGGCCGCTAGAGAAAGGAAAGCCACAGCTTCCCCCTCCATAAGGAGGCTTCCATGACTCAGGGACAGCAGCGCCCAGCGTATGCCCAGCCCACAGCCCAAACACTCGGCCCCTTCGCCTGGGTTTGCTGCCACACACACCCTTTCAGCAACCAGATGGGCACCCTGACCTGTAGACCCTGGTGAGTTTCACTCTATCTGTCAGCCGCGGAAATCATTTTCACTCATGTGGCTGAGTCAGAGGGCATGGCCTCCTGTCCAGGCACCCGACGGGCCGGGGCCTGTGGGCATGCCCGCACCTCTACCGCATGCCCCTCTTAACTTACAAAGCCTGACTGCATCATTTTCCTCTAAAACGTGTCCTATTTCTGCTCCCTCTCCCCACAATCACCTCAATTTTTTCTCCTTTAGGGGGTCACCATGAAGCCTTCTCCTATTCCTTTGTATACCGTCAACATGCATCCTACACCCTGCTCCAAGCAGATCACTCAGCCTGCGCTGGTCCCTCAGTTCACTCTCTTCTATGCAGAAAAAACAGCTCCTACCAACTCCCTTTTCAAGCCACGATCACATTCCAAACCACATGGGCTCCTCTCTCTTCTCACAATTCCAGTTACTCAATTATCTTTTGCCATGGACCATGGCAAAAGAGCTACTCAAAGGTTCTTGGAAAGTCTGAGTAGCCTGCCCTGTTTTGTTTCTGCCCAGTCCACACTGAATAATTTTCTTCCCTCGGAGCCTTCAAATTGATTGGTCAGGCACAGCTACATGCCACAAGATTCCAGTGCCTTTTGCCCAAGAGGTTGTTTCATCAAGGGTGTTTCATAGAGGCTGAATCACACAGATCCTACCAGCCTGCTCAGCTGGAAGTCAACTAAAGATAATTATGTAAAGGTTTGCTTCTGCCAAGCTCCATGCACCACTGGAACTGGAGTCCCCATAACACTGTGCTCATGACAGACTCATGAAGTACTTGGTGCTTAACACACACGGAGCATCCCTAATCCAAAACATCCAAATCTGAAATGCTAAGAAATCCAAAGCTTTTTTGAGTGTCTGAAGACACTTAAAAAGTTTTGAATTTCAGATGATCTCAGATTTGGGGATTTTGGAGTAAAGTCTACATAAATATTCCAAAATCCAAAAAACTCCAAACTCTGAAATACTTCTGGTCCCAAGCACTTTGAGTAAAGGATAGTCAACCCACGTGTGAGAAATGAGTAGAAGAGAAAAGAATGAAGACCTGAGCCAGCTCAGCACCTGTGCCAGGTTAAGACAGGTGCGGGCAAAGCTCACAGCCCAGTTAACCATAGGAATTGGCCATAAGTTTAATTAACCAAGACAGCCTCTGCTTCCCATCCTGGATGAAGAAGTTCACCCTGCCTCAGGACAGCAGGACACACCATGAGGAGTCTCAGGACCTCTCCTGGCGCTCTGCCCACCAGGAGAGCTTCCAACCTAATCCCCAGCCTCCTCTGTCCCCCAGGTGGAGGAGCAGGGGGTGGACAGAGAGCACAGTGAGGGCAGAAGCAGGGAACACATCGAACGGGCATCCCGAGAGCAAGGGAAGTACTCTGGGGAGGGACGAGCAGGGAGTGCTGGAGCAGCTTCCTTTGATTTTTTTTAATACACTGTGAATCCACAGAAGACACTGTACCAGCTCATCAGTGAATATGAGAATATAATCCAAATGTGACTCAGGTGAGCTGGTGCTGTCTGTGCTTGTGTCTCCCCCACATTAGGGCCATGAGGCCGAAGCATCTAGAGCACTAGGCAGGCTGCAGCCACTCGGGGGCGACCAAGCATATTTCCAGCTGGGTAGCCACAGTCAGTCACCTGGCCTCTCTCACGCTGCAGGAAGTCACAGGATCACAGGAGGTAGATAGAGACAGGGAGAGCAGGGAAAGTCCAATGTTAAGTGTAAAACTGTGTGTATTCCCACGAGGACTCTGACTAGGAGCTAAGAAGATGAGGTACCAATTCTGACGGGAACAGATCAAACAGCAATGAGCTACACCCAGCCAAGAAGGGTGCCTACATGTGTAAGAGTCACTGAAAACTCAGGGTCACACAGGTCCACTGTGGGGAAAAGGCAGGCACCAAGCCACACCTTGAGGAACCTGCTGACTCAGGCTGGAGCAAGTGTGCAGTCTCCTGGGGCTGCCGGGTCCCTAGGAGGGCTCAGGGGTCCAAGTCCACATGGGGGCTCCCTACCATTCCCTAGGTTCCCAGATGACCCAAGAACTGGCATGCAATCTCAGGGGACCCTCTGGTTGGCCCAAACCTTATCTCCCTTTTCTGTGGATTTTCTGAAATCCACAGAAAAGGGAGATAAGTTTGGCTAAAACTCCCAATAAAATAAAATCCTTGAAAAGTTTGCTGGTCTTCCTTGGGCCTTGCAACAGCCTCTCTACCTCAGGGGACTCCAAAGCCATCCGGTCAATCGCCTCCGGGTCATTCTGCATCTCCTCCAGCTCCTGCAGGGTCTTATCTTTCAGGGTCTCCATCTTTCCCTGCGAACAGAGAGTGACACCAAAGTGAGGAAGGGGCAGCAGGAAGGGAGAAAGGTAGACCTGAGCCCACGTATTACTTGTCAAAAACAAACAGGAGTTCTATCATGGCACCACCTCACAGGGGAACTCAGGGGGGGCAGAGTGGAGGCAGACACTCCTGCAGCTCCGCCCGCGCTCTCCCCAGGGAGACCAAGGCGCCTCCTTCACCCAAACCATGAGCAACAGGCATGGGAAGGCCGCTGCACCGCCAAGGCAAGATCACCGTCCACAGGGGCACTAGATAAAGCTCTGAGGAGCGGCAGGAAGGAAGGAGCGCGTCAGGCAGTAGGAACGGAGACTAAATTTGGCCGAAGGCCACCTGCCAGTGCGGAGGCCACCCTGCCCTCTGGTGGGCATCTATTTCTGTCTGAACCAGAAATACACCAACCCCACATGCGGGAGCGCTGCTGCTTCCACACCACAGGCTCCGCTGTGTCCTCGCTTGTTATATTTAGAGCACCAGGTTTCCCCGCCACTGCAGTCCTCTCCGCGCGTCACCAAAACGAACTGTCATATGTATGGCCTCATCGGAGCCGAAAAAGAATCACTGAATTGGCCTCTCAGGCAGTCAGGAGGAAAAGAAATCGACTGACCCAAACAGGCCGCCTGCTCTGACAGAGAGCTGGTGTCAGTGGTCTTCTCCCTGCCACTGCCCAGAGGGTCACCCATCATCTGTGTGACAAAAGGATCACAGCCAGCCCAGAAGGGACGCTGGGACAGAGAAGAGGAAGCACGGACCAGGCATGCCCTTCCTTTCTGTTGGCAGGATTCTCCATCTTTATGCCTCTCCCCAGGGCTGGGCCTGAACCCAGAACCTCACTCGTACTAGACGAGCACTCTACCCCTGAGCTACGTCCCCAGCCCGTGTGGTTTTTTATTCTGTGACAGGGTCTCACTAAGCTGCTGAGGCTGGCTTTGAACTTGCCAAGCGATCCTCCAACTCAGCCTCCCGAGTCACTGGGATTGGAGGTGTACGTCACGGCGCTTGGCTATTTTTATGCTTTTTATCTTTTCTAGCCATGCATTTTCTAGCTGCAGTTTGGGCTCTTCTCATTACCAGCGTTGCTAGTTTTCAAAAGCTTCCAGCACCACAGCAATCAAGGGTCCCAGGGTCCCCTCCATTCCCTCTGTGGGCACTCAGCTCGGGAGCCACGCTATGGCGCAGCCAAGGTGTTTGGGAAGCAAGAACCACAGTGACAGACAGAAGTCCCCTCTCCAGGGCTGCTTCTCTACCAGAATAGGGAGGGAAAGGCATGTTCTAGGGCTGTCGGGAAGGTGAAAGGGGAGACTGACAGGCGAGATTCCTGCCTTTTGCCAGGAAAGTCTGGTCTCCACCCTTGGTTATGCCCTATTGATGGTAATGCCTTTAATGCTCAAAAATATCCTGCTTTAAAAAACAAATTATGTGGTCACCCTACTAATGAAGAGCTATCCAAAAAAGGCATCACCAGTATTGGTCATTCACTGAGGACTGAACTAGTTCCAACCTCTAAGCCAGCATGGCCAACCCATCACCCTGCAGGTAGCCAGCCCACCTGCAGCCTCCCCTTCAGCAGGCCAGGCCAGGGCCAGGACCCACAGTCCCTCCTGCAGTCATGAAGCAGCTGGTCCAGGGCCAGTCTTTTGGAAAGAGAACGCCTCAGGAAAGTCCTGTCACAATGGAGCTCACTGGCTTCTGAACAGCCACAGCACAAGTTTCACCTGCACAGTTAAGAACACAAGGTGGCAGCAACTGTCCCATACACCGATGGCGGATCAGAAAGATTAGGTTGGTTGTGGCCAGCAATAGCAAAGCCAAAATTCAAGACTGGCCTCTGTCTATGCCTCACCCTGCTGTGCCAAAACCCTCGCTCTAGAAGCTAGAGCAGAGAACGGCAGCCTGAGAAGAACGTGGGGTGCAGCAGAGTTGTGAGGCACACTGCTGTTCCAGCGCAAGCCCGCGGGCCTGCCACAACCAGGAGCAACGCGATGAAGACTCATGAGCTCACAGGCTCCAGTCACAGAGCCAGAGCGAGTCTAGAGCCTGCACTGCCAGCCGTGGGCCTCACCCAACTGGAACCTCCCTGAGCCTCAAGCACCTCATCCACAAACTGGGCCAAGCAACAGCGCCTCCCTCGCAGATTCAAGGAGATAACACCAGCCACGCCTGGGCCAGCGCAGGCCTTGCTTAAAACAAATACGAGTGCAAGATTTCAACATCACAGAGATTGTGCGGGGTTACCAAGGCCTCCAGAGTACCTGCCGGGCCACAGCAGCATGTGCAGAACAGCACCATCCAGGGAGAGGCCTGCCACCAAACAGCATCTGCTCACTCCTGCAGTCAGGGCCAAGTGCAGCATGTGCTGCAGGTGGAGGATGGAAGCCCCGCATGGGCAGCTGGCTGACCACACACCAAGAGCACCGACAGCAGTTCCATCTGCAGAAGCAGCCCACAGGGTCAGGACCTGCTCTCACCAATGGAAATTCCTACGCATCTCGGGAGCCCTGGGACAGTCCCCAACTTCCCCCAATCACTTACCCTGGAATGGAATTGCCAGGTGCTGGACTTTAAGGCAACAGAGTCTCAAAGAGACAGGCAAACTTTTTGTCTCAGGACCCTCTTCACTCCTAATATTACTAAGGTCCCCAAAAAGTTCACTCATGTGGATCACAGCTTTAGTACGTACCATATTAGAAACTACAAATGAGAAACGTTTCACACACAAATATACACAGCACACAGCACATCAGCCACCGGAATGGCATGCTCTGAAAACGCCACCGTGCACACGAGAAGGCAGTAAAAGAGGCAAAGGTGTCAGAACTATTATGAAAATTGCTCTGAGCTCATGCATAACCAGGAAGGGCCTGGGAGACCTTCGGGGTCCTTATGAGAGTCACTGGCCTCCTAGAGGTTAGGAGAAAAGACTCTGGACTCAGACTACCTGGGTTGGAATCCTGGCTCCCCCACGAGCTGGGTTATCTAACCTATTGGTGTCTCAGTTTCTCCATCTGACAGAGGGGACCTGGAACATGGTAAGTACTGTGTGAGCGTCTGAAGAGCCTGACAACCATCGTCAACAGTGGGCGTGGATATTACCCCATCCCGAAAGAGGAAGGTTAGAGGAAGCCACTAGCCACACAGCTTGGAAGTGGCAGGGTCTTAACGGATCCAGGGTTCTTGGCAGGTGCATCAAAATCACCTGGGATACTCGTTTAAAGCCAAAGACCTCAGCCCTCCTCCAGATGTAGAACTTCAGAATCTCCAGGGCACGGAAGTTAACTTTAAATGCCGTTTTAATTTTAACTAAGCTGCTGGGGTCAAGCTGGTTTGGCATCTACTGTCTTTATCCTCCCCATCCTCAACACTCCCCAGGAACTCAGGTGGATAGAGCCCCCCCGACATGAAAAGGCAAGGACCCCAGGGGACAAGGGGTCTGTCAACAGGGTCACAGCAGAGGCAGGTGAGAATGTGAGTTGTGCTGTTCCTGCCAAGTGAGGCTCTGCCCAGAATCCCAAACGCACTTCCTACGGTTCCCGTGGCTGCCCTGTGTGAGCGTGGAGACGATTCCAAGCTGCCCATCACACCTGGGCCTGGGCTCCAGATTAGCAGTCCCACAAACAAGGAGCTTCACCAAGTGAGGCGGCCGCCACGTTACCAGGATCCCAGAGCAGACACTGACCGACTGCTCATGAAAAGAGGGCCCAAGCTGTGGCCAACACCACACAGGAGGCGCATTAACAGATGACGCCTCTGCTACTCCAGGCTTCCCACGGGCCAGGAAGCCCGGCCCACAAGGAAGGGCCGAGGTGCTTCCATCCTCTCTCAGGGACCTCTGCCCACAGGCTTCTCTCCTCGGGTTCAGAGCACACTGCTAACCCGTGGGGACACGCATCTTCAATTCTTCCAGAGGAAGGGTGCTCAGGACTTCCAAACAACTCTGCCAGACAGCTGGAGGCCAAAAGTTCCCCTAAAGGGGCTCAGTTTTCCTCGCCTCTAAAAGCGGGTAAACCAACCCTTATGGTCACGTGGCCCATTTCTTCTGATATCAAAGCCCTTTGCAAACCCTCCCGCTCATTCATGTAACCACCCTACTAAGGAAAGTGAGCACGAGGCTTGCTCACATCTATTCCAGAGATGAACTGGGGCTCAGAAGAAACAGAAAGGGTATTGCTCAAGGTCCTACAAACCTCTGGGGGTCAAACAGCCAGAGGTCCCCGACTCTTCCCTCTTCTGGTATTTTCCTCTGTCCCTGCTCTGCCCATAACAGGGGTGTGACAGGGACTGAGTTTATTTATAAGATCCAGAGATCACAGCCACACAAGCAAGCCACTGACCCCTGGGCCCCGCCTCCCAGGTAGAGGTGGCTCACAGGGCTGCCCCCATCTTGGGCCAGGCAGGGACTGTCTTTTGAAATCCATCACAGCACCTGCCACCGAGGCAGCCCGTGCCCTGCTCTCACAAGTCAGGTATCACCCACTCCTCAGTGCCACCCCGCAGGGGCAGAAGCAGCAAGCAGTTCTCTGGGGGCATAATTTACAAAAGGAGGGGAGAACGGGACACCACTGTGCCCAAGGCCCACAGAGCAGGCGTCTGAGGAAGTGGCCCCACAGCCGGCCATCTGCTGCTGGCAACACTCTCACTCCCCCCGCCAGCCAACAGGGTGGGCAAATCCAAACGGCTGCTTCTCAGAGTGCCACACCACCAGGGATGTCACAAAGCGGGGGGGGGCGTGGGATGTTACGTGGCGAGCCAGAGTCCACGGGTTTTTGCTTCTGGACAACCTAACAAGTCCAATTTCCTCAGGCTGTGGGCACAGGGTCCTGACCCAGACCCTTCCCACCACCAATGGCCAGCGGAGCTGGGTGCTCCTCTGGGGGATTCTGGAATGTACCACTGGGGGAGGGGAAGAGGAAGGCAAGGTGAGAAAGGTAACCCCCCTGTACACAAGATTGCTTTATTCACCTTTGTACCCCCTGTG